CAGATATATAATGGTTTATTTTTGGGCTTTCTATCCTATTCCGTATGTTTATGTCTACCTTTATGAGAATGGCTAACAACTGAAAAGTGTATAGTGTTTTTGTTCTAGATCATCCACTTAACCTTTATCAAATAAAAACTAGTGTTTCACACTTTCCAATACCTTCTCTCTCCCTACTATCACCTCCTTAACATCACTATTGAGCTTCAAAACTGTGACGACTATTTGTAGATGACAAATTTCTACTTTCCAAACTTTAAAATTTAAACATCAGCATATTTCGTCTGGCCCTGGTAACAATATTTATATGTTTATTGAACCCACTTCCTGAGTTTCAAAAAAAGAAAAGAACAAAAGAAAGTCAGATTTAGATAATGATTATTGAAATACCGTATTGAATAGGTCAGAACTTAATTTTAAAACTTTCATTAGAGTACTCTGGTTGAAAATTTAATTTCCTACTTTAAAGAATATTTCTCACTTACACTATTTCCTTCTTCATTTAGGGGCCACTGTATTTTGTGTTGCTCCAAATGCAGTATTTCCTTTTGAACTGTATAACGAAGAATATTTAGAGCAAAGGGATCTATATCTGACTCAATGCCAACAACAGTTCCAACAGTTTATTGCCACATATGGACCTGGGCCAGCTATTTTCTCTAGTGATGAATAACTAATTTAAGGAAATTTTTTTTCTTCATTTTTTTATTTAAGCAATGGGAAAAAGTGTGAGTATTTGAGAGTGATTTTGAAGTAATTCTTTAGATACTACTGTGCATAATAATTAGAATGCCATTTTAAAAAATATTAATTGCTAATAGGATAAACACTAATCCAAACTTCTAAAACCAGTAAAATTTAGTATGACAATGTGGACAATTTAAAATGACGAAGTTGCCAAGAAGAATCCTATAAAGACTTCTCATTAGCTCAGTATACCATGTTAAAACACAAATGTTGCAATCTAAGCAATGTGAAAAATGGTAAGTTATGTAGTTCACTCTTTTTGTCATAAGATGGCAATAACATTTTATCTACAAATTATTTTACCTAATTTTTCTTACATTTGTGCACCTGCCAAACTGATTAGTAATTAACTGTAATTTATATAACCTAAAGCCTCAAATGAAAGGCCTTTTCATGCTTTATTAGATATTGACATGTCCATTATATATATGCTGTTAGAAACACCTTTAGGAAAAGGCTTAGAAATGTTCTATATATGCCAGGTTAAATGAAAAATTTGCATGGAATGAAGGAACCAATAATTTACAAATTGGTTCAACTCTAACTGGTTACAAGAAAGGTTCCAAATAGCAAAGAAACCACTTTGCAAACCCAGTCTTCATTTTTGAAGGGAAGGTATCTGGCTGTGAAAAGGTAGTGACATCTTGAGAAAATATCTTTCTTTAATCCTATGTAGTTCCTGATTTCCATAGCTTTAATAAAAGATTAATTTTACTCACTGAAAAGCAAAATGTCATCACAATATTGACCTTTATAAACAAAGATTCTTTCAAAATCGGCACTTCATAGAGCTTCTCAACGATAAAGCTATATAGCTTTCCCATTCTATAGGGCAATGAGAAATCACTATTTTATTTCCTAGTCATTCAACAAAAATTCGAGTTTCTTTCTCTACTAGAGCCACAGATCATACAGTAGTTTTCAGAAGAGCTTGCTTTCAACAACAAAATATTTACCTGTTACAATTCTATTTTGTTAATACCCTTATTTGGTGATTTTTCTTATACTGTATTTCAAACTCTTCTGGTTCTCTGTGGGGTGAAGGAAAACATATTCCTATTTTAAAAACTAGGATCCATACAGTAGCCTCCATTCAAGATTCTGATGAAGGAACAAGACTAAAATCACTGGGAGAAAAAAATGTCTTTTAAATGTTGCTTCTGATGGGAAATGCTTAGAGATGTTGCTGTACGAGTTCTATACTGTTTGACTTAACATGTACAAATAAAAGCAAGGAATTTATAAGCTATGACTCAACAGGGGGAAAGATTTAGCTAAATTTAAGCCTTCATCCAGGCAGGAATTCAGTTATTTTAGAATTCTTGTTAATTCTTTACTCCCGGCCTGTCCAGTCAGTATTTTTCATAAGATAGCATATTGCCAGTTATTACATGCACTAGGATAGCATTACTTTTTTGTTCACAAATAAAAAGCAAATTAAAGAACAAAACTTAATTTTAAATAAAATCTGTTGGTCACAGAAAGGTGAAAACTTTACCTGTAATGGGTAATTTGCTACTTAGCATTAAGGAGTTCATGAGATTCCAACCACCTGTTTTTCAGGTACAACAGCAGTATATGAAGGGGAGGTGATATCTAGTATGCAGTGATTAGGACCTCTCCAGAAAGGCTAGAAAGGAAAATTGGAGCAATGTCTCCCCAGTTGCTTGCCTCAATGAAAATCACCATCCACAAATAAGCTAGTTATCGACAAGAACATTATATCCTTAAAGTATGTTAAAACCAGGTCTGACTACAGATGCTCCCCGACTTATGATAGTCCTAATAAAACGAATGCAAAGTTGAAAAATCATTAAGACCAACTACTATGTCGGGAACTGTCTGTAGTGAGAATGGAGCTCTTTAAAAGACCTGATATATTTTAAAGAAAACAGACTTCACTGTCCAGCAATTTAATTAATAAAAGTCAAGAGTCAAACTTGTATTTTTCTACATTTATTTATTGTGAGGTTATCAATGTCAAATAAAATATTAATTAATTTTCATCATTTTACTCTGTTCATCTGTTTTCTTGACCAATTCATTTCTCTCCAAAAATGATGCGTGCCACACCTCCAAAAAAAAAAAAAAAAACAAAAACAGAAAACAGTAAAAATCATTCCACACTCAAACTCAAAAAAAAAAATGAAGTTCTCATATAACCTCGATATTCATAAGTACCCCTCAAAAAATTAATATTGAGAAAAGGAAACAATACCCCTGACATGAGAGGGCAACTTCAAAAGGAACTGTCCCCAGCACTTTGGGGTTTATCAAATAATTCTGAACTACCAACAGATGTGTTTGCTTGACAAACCATAATTACTCACTTGAGGCAGCGAAGTACTTTTAAACACCACAGGTAAAGGACTTGAATGTTCACCTACAGCTACCTATATGCTGAAAAAAAAAGAACATTTCACCTATTTTAATGAACTGTACTACATTTCAATTATTCACATCAATATAGATACTGGCATCTCAGTCTTAAAATTATTTCTTCAAAGAAACGCTCAGCTGGGTAAACGGCAAAAAGTAATTTGTCATCATTGTGCCAGTTATTAAGAACATATTAAACATTTTGGGTACTGCTCTTTAGTAATACCACGAAGACAAAAGAATGCACAAAACTGGAATGTGAACTTTTTTGGTACCTGATTACATGCAGTGGAGTTCCCAGTTGTTTCTTAGCCATCTTCTACTTCAAGTTTTTGGAAAACATCTGTCATGACAACCTTCATACATCTTCAAAACACATAGACTTTGCTGTACCTGGAAATTAAAATATTTCATTGTGAATTCTCATTTGTACTTGCATTTGTTTAGCACCTTATATGTAGGATGGTCCAATAAGAGAATTTCATTCTTATCAGGAACCATAAACACA